GGGTAGGGAGAGATTAACCAAAGAATTTATATGAATATATGCATAACCCATGGACACAGATAATAGTGTGGTGAAGGTCGGGGGGTCGGCGGTGGGGTGGACGAGGGCAGAGAAGAGGGGGTAAATGGGGAAAAAAAAAGGGGACATCTGTAATACTTTCAAAGATAAAGATAATTTTTTTTAAATGTGGCTCAATGCTTACCGGTGGTCTATCATGTTCACTGGATCATGTGAATGCTAACATCCTTGTGTTGCCACACCTTCTAAGTATTTCCAATCTTATATATTTCCTAAGTCATCTATCAATACCATCTTTCTTCTGATACTTCTAAAATCTCATACTCACAGTTATTATTCAAGTTATCTCTTCAGAAATTTTTCTTCTAAAAAAAATCCACAGCTAACACCTTATAGGATCTTCATATTCCCTTTGAAGTGACAAGCTCATAACCTACAGTACTCCTGCAGAGTGTGACTCAGTACCCAAAGAGGCGTGCCTGGTGCAGTCTGCTGTCCAGGCTGCAGCACCAGAACTGCCTCTCCTTAAGTATATTTTACATTAGATCATAAAGGTGCATGTATTTAAAACTGTGTGGTGACTTAACAGCCACTTTTTTTTTACATAAAATGGCAATTATGAAAATTTTCTGCTAGAATAAAATCACATCTTATGCTGACCCATTTCTAAATCAGATATCAATAGCTTCAACTGCAAGCAAAAGAAAATAGCATTCAAGCACGTTTTGATTCACCCTAAAACAAATCTTTTCAACCAAATTCCTTTTGCTCTACCAAGATTTATGTACAAAAGCTAAAGGTCTATCCTCCATCCTCCAGCAGACACACCTGGACTACAGTTAAGCAGTTTGTTCCAGCTGTTTGAACTACAATCCCATGAACCTGCCCCTTGAAGGCATTTGAAGCTGTGCATCCTTGAAAACTAACAGAATGGGCCGAAGGACACTCTGAAGTCTGCATGTGATAAAAGTTGGGTGTAGGGGAAACTATTAAGAACTGAGAATGTACTAAAGGTACATAAGAAAACTAATTTTAAAAATACATTTTAAAGTAATTACTGAAAAACATTTGGAATAGTACACATTATTGTGCTATTTAAACACTGGTAATATTAATTTATTTGCCTCTCTGTTTTATAAAACCAGATATCAATACTCTCCAGTATGCTTCCTAACAACTTCTTGACATACACTTTAAAAACCTATGCTTAAAATTCAACAGCCAATGTAGCTAAGAATCTTTTTACCCATTGGTTTTATTTTTCAATACGAATAACAACCATCTGTCATTCATTTTGGTCTTTCACATGCTATGATACTTCAATTTTAATTTTTCCTTAATACTTAATAATGCCTACTTCCATTTGCTGAACCCATATAACTATCAACAAACTAAGATTTTCACTATTTTATTTGAAACTCACAAACAACCTTGTCAACAGATATTATAATTTCCATTTCAGATAAGGAGACAGAGATAGTGGCCATGTTATAAATATATAAACACATATGCATCCAATGTTTGGGGCCATGTTTATTTAATGATTAAGGCGTGATGATGCCATCTGAAATATGTTTTATTCCTTCTGTCAAAAGAACAAATGAATTAAAACAAATCCAACCTATCCAACTTTCACACATTCAACACAGGAATATTTCCGTGGTTGCGTCACTAAATCATAAACTTCATTCACTATAATCCCAAGGCTATTTCTAACACATCCCAAGAGAACAACTAAACTACCTAAAATTATTCAGAACACAACAATTCCTTGGCATTTATACAACTAAATAAACATAAAATATTCTAGTTTTTAAATGGAGTGCTAAAAAGATGCCACACTTTTACTTCTTGAGAGTTGTCACTACTTGAGGCACACAAAGTTCAGCAAACTTGACAAGAAAAAGAAGTAATAATTATCCTGTCTTTTGAAGCAATTGCAACTCAGAAGTTGCTCACTTTCAAATATTCCACATCAGTTAAAAGCTTCTTAGAACAGACAACTGTAACAGATTTAGTGGAATTAAGTACAGGTCCGGATATTGTTGAGGCATCATAAGTTTCTAGCTCCCACAGACTCAAGTAAGACTAAATTTCTTTCAATTTGGGTTAAATGAGAGAAACTGCGATTCATATTTCCAGAGGCAGGAGTGGCATATTTTCCAGTAAGTTTCTTGTTCTCATTTTACTATTTTAAGAATTCTGATCACTCCCAGTATTGCTCTGTGGCAAGATCTGAATTCTGGTGACTGATCATTTTCATGACATGATGCTTTACTAAAACCGTCTCAAAACACTGTTTTCATTCGTATTTAGCTTCAGCGTATTTATACACAAAATACCACTTCAATGGCATCATGCCAAGAAAAGAAATAGCTTGCTAGAATTTCAGTTGACTTTGTTAAAGGAAATTATTTTAAATTAATGTGGCTACTGAACTGCTGCCATCCTTAACCTCAGAAAATATATTCCTTCTAATTTTTGCTATGAACATTTATTTATTTAAGTTAAATTCCAGCTCATGAATGTTGACCATAAAGAGTCTAAACCTTCCTGCTACCATTTCGTATTCTTTTTCTAAACAAGGGCAACCACATGTTTGCTGTATTAGTATGCACAGCCAAATCACCACCATTAAGTGAAATCATCTATATATTTTTGGTAGAATCTTTAACAACTTCCACGCCCATCAGTGAAATGGAACAAGGCTGTTTTGTTTTCAGAGAGCAACAATTTGATCTCTGGTTTACTAGATGGCGCTCAAAATATTTTTCCATATGTTTTTCCGCAAAGAGAATCTGACATCAGCATGGTTTACCTTTACCAGTGAATGCAGGCTTTTTTCACCAAACATATCCCAGAGGAAGGTTAGGTCTTCCTGGCTATCCACATGTGGCTGCAGCTGGGCTGGCAGAGCCGCCAACAGCTCATACAGACCTATAAAATGAAAATAAAACACAAAGCGTAATCTTAGAGTGATCTCATTAATTTCACTTAAGGTGTGTGTGTAAGTGACGGCTGGAACATGTCTTTTTTACTGGATTTGTATTCTAGACCAACCAGCAAAACATTTCTCCAAAGAAGCAAAGGAAGCTTTTTGATTTTCCAGTTCTAAACAAGTATGCATTAACAGGCTAGTTTTTAACTTTCACAGCTGTCAACATTCTACAGTCCTCCAAATTTACATAACCCAAGACAGAAAATGTGTACAAGCTTTCAATGAAAGAAGAAAAGGCATACATTCCTTTCCTTAATTGTTATTACATTCCCTCAATGTTAGCCAAAGAGTGAAATGAGTCACGAATAGGAAAAATTTCCTTAGAAGAGCAGAAAATTGATAGAGTGGTCCACTAAAAAGGTTCTGTGGTTTCCAAATCGTTCCTTATATAGCTTCAAAAAGCCCTGCATTATCCAATGTCCAAGGTGAGTTCTAAAAAGAATAAACCATACTTTGGGCTGCAGTTACCCATTTCTTAAAAACAACAACTACACAGGGCTTAGTCTAAATCTGACTCTATCTGGGGGGTTCTGATACGCTCTGAAAGAGTTAAGCCAGCAGCTGGGGCGACGGGCGCTCCTCGGGAAGCTTCCAGGAGCACAGTAGCGCAGTGTCCGCAGCAGCGCGGAGCCATCCATCTCGACCGGGGCTGTCAGACTCCTGTCCAAGAAATGCTGCAACGGTGCTTGCCCAGGACTCTTCAGGGAGGTGACCTGGCAGAAGTCAGTATCAACTCACAGCACATGTTTCCTTTTCCAGGGGGATTACATGAGGTAAAAAGGACAAAATTCCTTTTATTTCTGTCTGCTGTCTACAAAAACACCGAGACCTCCTGGGATCTACAACACACGGCGCTGTTGTTATTTCTGGTCTGAATAAGTGCTGCTGTTGGTCACGGGGACAGCTTTACACGAGAGTTAACAGCGAAGATCGCAGAGTAAATTATGGACTGCTGATCAGTTTATCTGTTATCTTCCTAAAGCATTAAACATTCTGATAATCAGTCATAATTCACAACCAAATGCATTGGTGTCCATTTTGAAAGTTAGATATGTAAGTTGAGAGATTCTATTAAATTCAAACATTCCTGGGGCTGTATTCGCCCAAAAAGATCTAAAATGTCTAGGAAAAAAACCTTATATCCTTAAGTATTCTTAGAGGTTTATATTTATTCCCTTAAAACCCTGGCATCCTGCCTAAACTAGCTCTTATTTGTAATTCAGTAAATATTTTTAAGGCATCTCAACATAACTGAATGTATACAGGTCTCATTTCATATACACACACACACACAAAGTAATCATCATTGCCAAAATCAGTGATTATAGTCAGAGGTTCAAAATATGAAATTATATAAAAGAAGGTAGAATATTACTATTTTATTATTGAATTCAGGAGTGGTAAAAATAATTACCTAATCCTTGGTAACATGATTAGTTTAACTAATGGTACTAATTCAACTGTGATATAATTTCTGAGGTATAGCCGTTGGGGGATTAAATGAGTTAGTACATTAGAACAGTTCCTGGCACATAGTAAGTATTCAATCTGTTTCATACGTAACTCAGTGAGGTTCAGCTATGTTTTAATTGATCACTATTACATCATTAGCGTTACTGAAAAAACAAAAGTTTGGATCAAATAGACCTAAATTCAAGCCCCAGGTCTACACTTTAGGCATTCCAAATAACTTATCCAAGCCTCGTTTCCCTTATAATTTGAAAAAGAAATGGTAATCTACACTTGTGCTAAAATTGCACAGAAAAAAATCCACAAACACACACACACACGAGTACATGTAACACTGGTGAAATCTGAAAAAGGTCAATGGATTGCATCAATGACAGTTTCCCAGTTGTGACTTTCTACTATAGTTATACAAAAAATTACCATTAAAGGAAATCAAGTCAAGGGTGCACAGAATCTGTCTGTATTAATTCTTACAACATGTGAATCTACAGTTATTTCAAAATAAAGTTAAAAACAAAAGAAATTGTAGCAAAAATGGTTGTCACCGGAATTCAATGGAACAATGCCCATGACAGCATTTAGGTCTGTGGCTGGCACAGAGCAGGCATTTGATAGAAAATAATGTTCTTTCCTTAATATGTCTCCTCTAGAATGAAAGCAATTTCAATGCAATGGTTCAAAGTCAAAGCAACAACTTAGCTATACCGTCCAACTGGACACAAAACCATACTCAGAAATAAAACCACCCTAGCCTTTTACATATGGAAAGTGTTAACTTTACCCAAATAGTGCTTAACTTTTTGTGGGAATAAGTCATATTATGTGAAAATTAAAAACAATAATTTCTCTGTAAATAGATGCTCATAAACCTGAGTTTTCTGTTTACTAGTTTTATGCAATCCTAATTTATATGCCACCGTAATTTGGTACTCTAGTGACAACAGCAGTAACTTCTCTTCAGCTCCCACATCTGGTAGCCAGAGACCAGAAGAGATAGCATAATGCCTACCAAAAATTAAAGAGATGGTTAAAATAGCTACTAGTGCATATGTAGTCTCAATGCAGGCAACACAGCAACTCACTTCCACTCAAATTATATAGGCCCTAGAAACCATCTCAGTCCATGCTTAACACAGGGTCTATAGTCTAACATGTGCTTTAAAATACTTCTATATTTAGTTCATAGAGTCCCAATACTGAAGAGCACTGAACTCCAAATGTTTTCCGTTCTTGAGATTCAGAGAATAAGAGTGAAAGTTTGGATGGCAAGCATATCTTCAAAAATTTTTACCTAAATCGACTTGGTCCCAGAACATGAACTGGAATGGTAAAAGTTACCCTGGAGTCCTCTGTAGTCATTCAAGCTCATGTGTGCTTCGTTCCAATGAATGCTTCCTTCCAATGAATGAACCAAGCGCTGTTCATGGCTCTAAAGGTCTAAGACACATGAGCCCCAACCTGAGTTTACAGTGTCGAGAGCAAGCACACAGACAGGTCTGTTAGTAAGTGCAGGACAGGGTTAGACTGCTAGGGCAAAGGCAAGGGAAGTGGTCAATTCCTTCAAAGGAGGAAGAAGACTCAGGAAAGCCTTCCACAAAGAATAACACCTGAGTTACATCTTTGAATGTTATATCCTTAAGGGTCAACATTTATGAGTCCTTACTCAGAGCACTACGTTAGTCATTAGGAATACAGGTAGGTATAGAATAGATCACTACCTCTGCCCCAGGGATCTTGCAGTCTTGGATGACGCAGAATATATATCACATATGCCCAAACATAAAGCCATCCTGAATATAATTATCTCCTACTTGCCCAAGTAAACACTCAAAACATTTTCTTCCAAGTAAAGTAAATAGATGTTTAGGCTACTAATGAAATATTTAAAGGCCTAACTGATTTTCAGTGATAATGGTAAAATGCTCATGTCTGCTTATAATATTTAAATTATAATTTAGTTAGGAACACATACTTTTAATTATCTATTAAGTAAAATATTACTTGAGGTATGTGGGTTTTGCCCCACTTGCACATTTCATGCAACCACTCTATTTAAATTACCCACAATGACTTCCCCATAACTAGTGCCACTTCAGAGTTAAAACAGATCATTTTCACTTCTAGATAAGTTATTTGATATATAGTACATTTTTGAATTTGTGGGAGATGCTTCCACTAAGAATCTGGGTAACGCTGACTGTTTTTCATTTGTCCTGTAGCTCTGTTTTCTTTCTCCACAACAAAACCACTTAACTACTCTTTAAATATATTCATATTTGCAAGTGTGAGGTTTGGTTTTTAACATGCTCTCCAAGGAATAATAAGTAAATCTGGCTTAAATGTCTTTATCTCCTTTTTTAAAAACAATTCCATCAGTGTTCTCTCAATAATACCCAAAAATATGATTTATGTTATATGAGAATAACTGTGGCTTCTCCATTCAATACATTTTTGTATAACAGAGAAAGTTCTCTATAATAGGTTTTGTAAGGACCTGAATAAAAGGCAGCTCTCTCTTCTCAGAGAAATCATTTTAAGGGGGGGGAAAACCCTCATCTTATAGTTGGGTACATTTGATAGAAGACACTGTCAAAGATGCACATAAAGAGTTTCAAGAAAATTGTTTCATAAAAATGTTCCAGTAGAGAAAAGTAATATTTTTAAATAAGTGAGAAAAGAAAGCAACTAAAACATGTGAGGTATCATTTGATTAATATGTGCAATAATAATTATATAACAATTTTAAAAGGAGAGAAATCAATAAAAGTCAGAGGCCATGCTGGAGCTGGCAGGAGGTAAGTTAGGATCTGAAGGAAGGAAAACAGGGCCCAGAAGGGTGCATTCTAGGTTGGAGAACATCCAAGGTGAAAAGTCAGCAATAAATATGTAAATCCACAGGTTATTAAATGCCCTGAATTTCTGTAAGACTGAGAAACATTAGTGAGTACCTCAAGCCCAAATTTCTGCTTTGTATGTTTATATTAGTCATGGTCCAATGTGGAGACTAGAGCTATGCAGTCATTTAAATAGAGTTTAATAGAAATAATTATTAACTATAAGGGGGATCATCTTCCAGGTAGTAAAGTCTCAAGAATACCCAGGGGCTGGAGGAGAGGACCCAGAAAGAAACACCTTGGAAGAGGTGCTCCATCCCCAAGATTAGGATTCAGAGCTCGCTGGAGAAGGCGTGGTTACAGTCCACTAGCTGACTGGGGCTCCCGGGGTCAGAGTCTGTCCAGTCACTGGGCCAGCAGGAAACGCCCCTCCAGGGTGCGGGTGGGCAGAAAACCATGCTGGGACATTCAGGTAGGAAATGCTTCCACAGGGTATAAGTGGGTGAAGCCTGGGAGGCAGGAAGCCACAACCAGGACTGGAAAGCCAAAATAATCGCTATGGGAGAAAACTGGGGAAGTGACTGACAGCAGAAAGCAACCCTCTGGATGCCCGCTGGTCACCACCGGGAAGCCAA